AATAAAAAAAAAAATTTTGAATTTACTTACTTGTAGCCGGAGTTAGAGGCGGTCAGATACTTATGACCGCTACTGTAATCAAACCTTTAATTTTAAATCCTATCAATCTGAAATAAATACTTCTAAAAAGTTTACAAATTTAATTAATCTGATTTATATAATTTAAAGAACTAATCAAAAAGATATTAATATATCTAATATATTTATTTCAGATTCTTTATCAATAAATTTAACTCAATTAAAAATATTCAAAAAGTTCTAGAATATATTAAAGAAATTAGTAGAATTAATAAAGATGAACAAAAATAAATTGTAGTAGTTTATAATAGAATTTCTTAGCATTATATATAAAATTTAAAAATGATCATCTAAAATTCTTTTAATATCCAGTCCATTTCATGAGAAAAAAAATATGTTAAAATTCTTTATGAAATTGAATTAATAAGTTATAGTTAATTCTAAAGTTTCAAATTATTTCAAATTAATATAATCTTACAATTTCTTAGAGTTATTGATTTGTGATATTTTGCATAATATCAAGGATATAAAATTGAAAATCAATTAAGATATTTTAAAAAATGTACTGATTATTATAAAGTATGAAATCAGTTTATAGTATTTATCAATATGCAATAGCTATAGAATTAGTTTAATTTTATATTATCTTTAATGTTTATTAATGGTATCTTAATTAAGTTAAAAATCAAGAAAATGAATTATATAAATTAAAATATGAATATATAAATTAACTTAATTATAAATCTTATATTAATTAATTTATTTATTTACTTAATTTAATTTTTAAATCTTTTTATATCTATAAGTTATAATAAATTTTTGTATTAAAATAAGATTCAATCAACCTTTACTTAAATTAGCTGTACGTAAAGTATTTGCTCCTATTTAGTCTAAAAGATGATATTTTTAAAATTTGACAATTTATCAAATTAAATTTAATTATATCACAATCGGGATAGTTAAATAAGCATTAAGGATTAGATACTGTATTTAAAAAAGTCAATAAAATGCTAAAGACACTTATCCTACCTATACAAACTCAAAAATATTAGAAATTGCAACAAGAAATTGTGTAAAATTTATAAGTAAAAAAATAATATATTTAATATAATACTTATTATTTCATTCTTTCTATTTTTGATAATAGTTATAGAAGCAATATTTACTATGATCAAATATACAGATACTAAAAGTTGGTTTACAAATACACTCAAATTATAAAATAGAATTATAATGATTCTGAGTTCATTTAAAAAAACTGGTTTCTAAATAATTATTGTTTTGAGAGTTTGAATAGACGTAACAAACTAAGTGAAAAAATAAAATCATTTAGTATTATAGTACAAGCTCAACATATAAATTATATCAAAGAAAAATTAAATTCAACAAAATCAAACTATTAGTTATCTATTTTATTTTTATTACTATTGATAAAGTATAAATATAATCAGCAGAAGGTTCAATAAAAAAAGAAGAACTTGTATTAATAATCAAATTACTAATCAAATCTTTAAATAAGATTAATTTGTCACAATTTTAGGAGTTAAAATTGAAAAGAAAGATAAATTATTAGTTATTTTACAAGAAATTTGATATTTAACTAATAGTAATAAAATGAATTGAAATAAGTCAGAAATTCTAAATTTTTTTTGAATTATAAAATGACTAATTTTTTTCTATTCATATATTTTTGTAAAATTAATTTCGATATCATATAGGCATTAGAACATTTGATCATTGCTATATTTAAAAATTCTATATATAGAAAAACATCAGACTTTAATATAAATTTTTTTACTAACTTTTTATAATTATTAAATATAAAATAAAAAAAGTTTTTTTAAAAAAATAATATACTAATAAAACTATTTCTGGCTATTTAATGATAAATAAAATAGGTAAAATGATTTAATTTTATAAAATAATATTTCTATATATAATGTTTTTTAATAAATATTTAGCTAAGCTAAATAGTAATAATTAGTGTAACTTGTTAATTTAAATACCTATTTATAGATAAAATAAGATTTAATATATTAAAATAATCTTGAATTAAATGAAAATGTTATTTTTTAAATCTAACTAATTAAAGGTTTTTTATAGATCACTTTTTCTTTTATTTAATAATATTATCATTATAAATGTGTATTGTTAATACTTCAATTTTATTATAGTTATTAACTTTTAATTACTTTTGCAGAATCTAAAAGGCTGATATTAATTGATTAAATATGAGTAAACTCTTTATACTTTAACATTTAATACATTGTGAATTGATATATCATGAAAGATAAGTGATATAAAAGGTGATTTTATAATTGATTTACTACACATATATTAAAGTGTTTTGCAACTAATATAAAAACTGTGTATGGTTTGCAAAATTCATGAGTTGCATGATAATCATCTATATTATAATTATAAAACGTATTTTTATAATAAAAAAAGAAAATAGATTTAATATATAGTATATATAATATTTATTTAATTAATTTTATTTATATAATTACATTTTTTATAAAATGTTTTTTAACATTTATTACATATTCTTTTTGAAATTTTTTTTTTGAAAATTATTTAATGTTTTAGCATATGTTGAATATCAAGGCTTAACATTGTATCAACAGTACACCTGATGCCATTAAATATAAGCCAGCTTCTAATTTACTGTATGTTGATTAACAAATTTGTTTCGTAAGCCTAATATCATAATGATTGATTTTTTAGTTTTATTTATATTGTGAGCAGAACGTTCTTTAGAAATGTTAAATTCATCATAAAATTAAAAAAAACCCCTTAAGTTGAGGATCACTATTTTCAATCATATACTCAAATCTTGACGGAAGTAATTTTAAATTTGCATGTTCTTGACGTTGCTGGTGATATAGTACTTTTGTTAATGTTTGTATTTTCGAAGTAAATGTGAAATCTTTGCATTGATTCTATGTTGGCATTGATCTTAATTTAATTTTATGTTAATATAATTAAAAAAGTAACATTAGCTAAAAATCATTATTGTACTTGCCTATATTATGATTTAAGAGTTCTATCTGTTCTAATACTTTCCTTTTTTTTTGAATTGCTACTTTTTTTGATTAAGCTTTCGTCTCCGTTGACCCCTATCAGCTTCTACTATACTGCAATAGTGTGAATGACAAAGTTGTTTTCCTATTTCAAGATAAGGATATGTTTGTAACATTTGATTTTTACAGCATTTTTCATATGCAAGCTTCGTAATAACACGAAACCTAACATTTATATGTGTGCAATTTGTAATAGAACAGGGTCCTAAATTTTTAATTTTCATATTTTTAAAAATGATATTTTACGAAAAAAATAAAAAAAATAAAAAAATTCACGTGAAAATTATAACCAATCACAGTTCGTGTTGTTTATTAAAATAGCCAATTATTTCAGTTATGCTAATAATCCAAGCTTGAAAACTTACGGCTCCAAGAGAGAAAATATGAGACCCTTTGCAGTAGAAAAGGGAGAAACTGCCGGGAAAAATATAAAAATGAATTAATGCTAAATCTGAATATCATATTTGGCTTTTAAAAAGTAAAATCCCAAAACATTTGCTATGAGGAGGAAGCCGTGACGAGTGTGATAACAAGGCACGTATGATAGTATTCATTGGAATCACGTGGAATCTCATGATAAAGTATTAAAATATTTTAGCAAAGTTTCATTTGGTGATTGGAGAGGATGAAAGTTGCTGTCAATATGATGAACATATAAGGAATACTGAAGCAAACGATCTTCTTTGCAAGATTACAATCTCTTCTGAAAAAAATGAAGAAATCTGGGAATGCATGTTCTTTTCTTTTTTTTTTTTTTTTTATTACTCTATTTTTTTTTTATTTTTATTTTTATCTTTTTTGGGGGAACTTTTTGTCCTTTCGAAACCTTTGAAATAAAAATCCTAAAGGGTTCCCCGAATTCATCATTTTCACGTTAAAATATTACGCCATTAATAAATCGCCGATTCCCGCGAACGAACTTTCCAGTGGCGTCAACTATATTTATTCTGCATAGACTTCACACATACACACTTACACCCCTTAAACTTTATTTTATTTTTTTTTTTTTTACATTATGCTCAAGCACAATATGATTAATAAAACCATTTCGTTTTCAACCCATAAATGATCTAAATACGATTACTAACCACGTTGATATAAATAGGTGCCATTGGAATTCCCTGTATATTTAGGGAAAATAAAACAGATTAGATTTAATTTAATGACGAATATTCTAGATCACTATCTTTTCACGAGATTTTCGTTTAGTGCATTGCATTATAGTATGTGCCTTCATAAATGTTTCATGCACCAATTCGGTTAAATAAAAAAAAAAAAAAAAATTTCGTTTATTTATATTTTTCTATATATATAGGATTTTCTTTCCGTCTTTCCTAATAAAAAAAAAATAATTATAAAAAAAAAAACAAGATTTATTAAAAAATAAAAATTACAATAAAATAAAAAATAATAATTAAAAAAAAAAAAAACAAGCGTTATTAAAAAAAAATGAACTTCAAATATTATCAAAAGTTATCACTTGATTTGGCAGAACTCTACGAGGATGATGCGTTCTGTGATGTTATCATTGAAGCGGGACACGCCCCAAACAATAAAATATTTCGTGCGCATTCACTCATTCTAAACTATAGGTCATCTTATTTTCGTAGAAAATTATCTCAAGAGTCCGCGAATGGAAGAATTGAATTCAAGTTCAACGTCTCTTGTGAGGTCATTCAAGTCATGCTCAAGTAAGTAATTGCGAACACCACTATCCCCCGTATGATGAAAATCAAATATTAAGTTGATTTCTCGTCAATTAGATACATCTACACCGGAGTGCTCTCTTTGGAAGATCAAAGTCCTTGCGAATTGCTAAACCTGTTGATCATAACCGAAAAATTTCACCTCACAGAATTAACCGATCATTTGCAACAATACATACTGGAACATCACACTCCTTGGTTACGACAACATTTTGAACTCGTTCATAGGACAAGTTATCAACATCAAACATTTCACGATTTACAAAAATTTTGTTCATACTTAATTAAGAATACCCCAGAGATAATATTTCATTCGCAAGATTTTACATCGATTCAAGAGAACTTTTTGATTTCACTCTTACAACGTGAACATTTGGGAATAAAAGAAGTGCAAGTATGGCATCATCTCATTCGATGGGGCATGGCGCAAAATCCAAGCCTAACACCTGATCCCGCAAGTTGGTCTTTAGACGATTTCAAGACCTTGGAATCGAATTTGAAACGTTGTATCCCCTTGATTAGATTTTTTGAATTAACCTCTCAAGAATTTTATGATAAAGTTCGCCCTTATAGACGAATTTTACCCTCTCAACTTTACGAAGATTTAATGAAATATTATATGAAATCTAATAGCCAATCACCTTTAAATATCTTACCGCCTAGAAGAATTGCCGCTTCGATATATAACATTAAGAATCATAGTCGACCAAATTCCCGACCAAATTCCCGACCTGGTTCTCGACCCGGTTCTCGACCCAATTCTCGATCCAATTCCCGATCAAATTCTCGCCCAAGTTCTCCTCTTTTACAATCACCTGCTTATTTTAGAATCGATGATATCGATTCGGAATTAATTACATGCGAAAACGCGAGTCTCATCGCAAATTGGATTGGTCGTAAGGATTATTTCGATTTTACGGATAGCCCTTTTGAGTTTAAATTATTATTTCGTGGTAGCATCGATGGGTTGTCTCCAACGAATTTTCATAAAATATGTGATAATAAATTATCCACTTTGGTCATAATAAAAGTGTATGGTACAGGTGAAATAATCGGAGGTTACAATCCTATAAGGTGGAAATCTCTAAAGGGTTCTTGGGGAAATACCGAAGATAGCTTTATATTTTCTCTACGTGGTCAAAATCACAATTTAACAAGTCCAATATTAAGTAGACTTGTGAAAGGTCAAAGTACTTATGCTTTAAATTATGAGCCGAACCTCGGCCCTTCCTTTGGGATTTCCGATTTAAAGATTGAGGGAAGCAATTTTAGAAATGAGAGTAAATGTTATTGTTTGAAAGGATGTTATGAGAAGAGTATTAGAACAACCTCAGGATTTTTTTCCATAGAAGATTATGAAGTATTTCAGGTTAGAAAAAAATGAACTTTTTTAGTGAAATATTTCAATATATACAATTAGAATTCAATGTAGACAATGTAGAGATGTTTTTTTTTGAATTTATTTTTTTTTTATTTGTAAAGGAAGGAATGAAGAATAATAAAAAAAAAAAAGTAATTTTGATTATAATATATAATAATAAAGTTGGTTCTTAATTTTTTTATAAAGAAATTTTATTTTCTCAAGGAATTTTTTTGATGATTCTAAAAACCTCATATTCGTCCACCCAAAATTTAGATTTCTTCATGATGCTTTTCTCGTAGCTTTTCTTAAAGCAATTACCTGTACATCCATAAGCATCATCAAATCCCAAATATAATTTTAAATCAGAGATACCACCACCAAAACAAGGACCCAACGCCCTATACTGAAAAATCGCCTCATCGGGTTCTTTTATCTTTGAATATATCGTATTTTGTAAATTCTTATCACCCAAGGAAAAGATAAAACTCTTATTCGTTTTGTAATAAATTTTCTTGGAGGAATCCCAATTCAAGGGATTGTAACCTCCTAACAATTCCCCAGAAGTGTGAACCCTCAAGATGGTTATAGTTGGACCCTTCAAATCACATAATTCATGAAAGACTTTATACCCAAACCCATTCCTACTACCTCTTACAAGTAAATGAAATTCAAAAGGAATATTTTGATATGATACATGCTTATCATTTGTCAACCAATCGCATATTAACGCCAAATGTTTCGAATCAATCAAAACCGAATCGATTCCATCCTGATGTTGATTGGATGGTGGTTTTGACTCATAATTTTCCAAGATCTGATCATAAAAATCGTCATTAAAAGCTTGCTTAAAAGGGGCAACCCTTTCTAAGAAATCATTCCTGTTTATGGATGCAAAATTAATTAAACGAATGCATGGTTGGATTAAACTATTTAATGTCAAGAAATTTTCATTAGTCCAACTTTCATTTTCCATCGATGACAGGCACGAATCTTGCGCTCTCCCCCATCCGACCACCTTATTCCATAAATCTATTTCTCGCATGACAAGATTATTACATTTTAAAAGAGTGATTAATGTTTCTTGTGTGATAAGGTTGAAATCTTCGTGCTCGAACATGATTGAAGGATCCTGCTCCATCGTTTTAACACAAAACGCGAGTAATTTTGTGAAATGGTGATGCTGCGATGCAAATGTTTGAACTTGAACAAAATGTTTTAGTAACTGGTCAAAGTCTTGAAGAAGGTAATCTTCAATGTAACCAAAGATCTCAGTCAAGCACAATTCGTCTGCCGCAGTGAGGACAGATAGAATCACTGGCACATCAAGTTCTAGTAATTCAAGAGAACCACCATAGATATATCTATTATTAATATCCATCAAAAGATTTTTTTTTCACACTAAGTAATCGAATTTTAAAATTCAATCTTTCCACAAAAAAAAAACGCAAGATACAACAAAATAAAATAAAATAAAATAAAAAATAAAAATAAAACAAAAAAAATTTTTACTTGAGTACAACTTCGAAAACCTTTGGTGATATATTTGGTTTATTAAATATTATCATGTTTCCCTGTTTTTTTATCCAATCGCTTGATAAAGCGGCGTTAAAATAAGGCGAACGTGTTCGTAATACGAGTGAATGCGCTCGAAATTCTTGATAATCGAGTTCATGACCCACTTGAATGATAACATCAAAGTATGCATCGGAATCAAGAAGTTTGGTGTAATCTCGTGATAAAAAAGAGAAAAATTGGTATGACATAATTGTAAGGGAAGAGTTTAAGATTCGAGTTTTTTTTTTTAAAAAAAAAAAAAAAAAAGAAAAATTTAGCAAAGAGAGTGAAATATTTTTTCGAGTGTTGTGTATGCATTTGCTTATTTTAATCTTTTTTTGTTACACCAAATAGCCCAGCCAAGTCAAATAATACAGGTTTTAACGGTAACCGGCATATTCCCACTTCACCAAAATCGTTAACAACTTGTGCAATGCACATGTTGTAAATGCTACAATAAAGTGAAAATGACGCAACAAAAAATCGTGTTAAAATTGAATTGGCTTTCTCACCCCTAGAACCAAAATTTATTAACCTTTGATCTATCTTATTTTGATGTAACGTTTTGTAACATAACGTAGTAGAATATAAATATAAATGTTCGTTTGTATTATGTCCAAAACGATCATTTGTCCATTATTATCTGTATTTGGGAATTTGTCCCTCCAACATTGCCAACAATTCAATTCATCCTTCAAAAAAGCGATGCTTATTATCACAAAATGTTAATATTTGGTGTACGTGCAATAGTTCAATGTATCAATGACGAATCGGTCTAGCAAACAATTATTCTTTTAACAAGCTGGAACGTGGATATCATGATAATTCTTGGGGTATCATCCAATGCACTCATTGTGGGCATCTTGAATTAATCTCTTTACTAAGCAAATATTACCCATTTCCAAGAATTTGGCATAGTGGTTTTGACTTTTCTCGATTACACTACCTTTGCTACGTTCCTTTTGTCTAGATTGTTTGAATACATCAATATGAATTTTTTTTACTCTTTCTGGGTCCTATGAATGGCAATTTCCGTTATCCGTATGCGGGTAAATTAGATGCAGTCTCTTGTGGCATGTAATTTTTGCAGCAGGGATGAATTTATGGTTCGCTATCTTAAACGTGATTTGGTGCATAGGCAAGGTGGATGTTTTGAATTCTAAATTATGGAAACCATCAATAAGTTGTGGTTCCTAAATAAGTTTTGTTATATAAACTATCGATCAAAATGTATTACATCATAAAATATTTAGTCTGCTAATACAATCATCATGTTTACCAATATAAAAATATCAAATATAATTATCACGCAAAACATTCATAATTTAACGTGGAAAATTTAAATTTTTTAAATAACTAATTTCTTAGTTTTTATTATCAAAGCTCTTTTTATTTTCTTGTTCTAAAATTTTTAAGTTCGGCGATTTTTAATATGGAACAAAATAATGTTTCACATGGAAACTTTAGCTATTCACGCTTTCCTTTTAAAAAAAAAATTATTTTCATTATTAATTTCCATAAGCTAATAATTTGATGGTATAAAACGCGATAATGTCAACAACAAATTGTGCTGTAAGATAATGCTATCTATTCATTCATTTCATTCACTATGAACAGTTAGAAGGCAATTTGTATTTTCAAATTCTAACCAGAACATCGATTCTGTCTTCGTCATTAACGCGTTTCTATTTCTTTAAGAACGTTTTTAGAGTCCGCATCATTAGTAATATTTTATTTTCCGATGCAAATAGTAAAACACTCAATATAAATAACCTTGGAATAAATGCTACTTTTATTTTAAACAGTAAATGCTTTTGCTTTTTTTTACGTATGATGATCATATTGAAGATGGCGTGATATTTTTGGGGCCATTTGCCATTAGTATACGCTATATAAGAAGTGTAAATACCAATAATTCGGTGAAAATTGTATGGTGTGACGGTATGATTATGGCCTCATCTTCCAAAATACTAGATCATTTAACGTCTTCTAAAATATTTTAGGTTCAAGAATACGAAATTAAAAATATTTAGTTACAATAGTGATAAATCAAGATACAGAAAATATTTCTTTTAATAAAAAATTATTATTTATATCTTTAATATTATAAATTCTAAAATATATTTAAATAAGTTGTGAGAATATAGATATATAAATTAAAATAGCTTACCGTCCGATCAGATCCTTTATGTGGCAATTCTCATCGATTTCATCCTTGTAGAGTTTCTTTTTTGACTTGACTAATTAATCGAACGTAGCCTGATGAATAAAAATCCTGTTCCATGCGACTTTGACAGAAATAATTTGATCTTTCCAAGCATTCGAACTATATGCCTTTATAGTTAAATGTATCTTATAGAAACTGAGATGCGATGGGTCTGAAAGTATTTGATGATTAAGAAGATATCACATCAAAAAAAAAGAAAGAATAAAAATATACAATATGTTGTATGCGCATATTTCCTCAAGAGTTAAGTTCGAAAAAGGCAGGTAATTGTTTTTTATCTGTTTATTAATTTGAGATTTACGATCAAATTGTATCATGATCCCATTTCCATGTTCGTTCACTTTCACATTGATTTACGGGCGATCCACTTTTGGCTTGCTATCAGTGTATGCGCGTCTGCCGATTTTAATTTAATATATCTAAAAATAAATAAAAATTAAAAATAAATATCATCGCACTACTGATTGTGCTAATTTCTCATTTCACAAGTTTTGCTCGATTTAAAAATATAAATACAAATTATTATAATTTTCATAATATATCTGCATGCAAAAGTCGAACCACACGTGCCAGCGGCATATTATGCAAGCAAACTGTTTGTTTTCTGTGACTATGAAGCCTAAAGGTAATCCTCACGAGGGGGGATCAGAATTGTTTCCCTAATTTAATTTTAAAGAATTATTTTTATTAGAAAATTATTTGTCGTTTTTCTCTTTGTTATCAAAAAAAAGAAAAAAAAAGGCGTCATACTAATCATTATCCCCTATGATTGTGTAAATATTTAAATAATTCTTATTAGTTTATCTTGAAGTATTCAAATATTGTATATTGAAAATTTATATTCTAACATGAAACAGATTTTTGAAATTGACCGCTCGGAACTTCATAGTAATATTAGCACAAAGAAAACTTAGAAGCATGTAAATTTTGGAAAAGTTTTCCATGTATAGAAAAAATGATTGATGTTATTTTACTCTGGAGACAATAAATCTAGAACGGTCTTTATTTGCCAAATTCATTGAAGCAAGCATTGGAATCAAATTCCTGATGAAAATGATTCGACATTTTCATTCCGGAAAAAGTTATAACAATTAAAGGACAAAAAAAAATTATTTTAATATTATTAGCTGCGCAGTAATGTCGAACAGGATGAGTTGAATTCGAATTTACCTACATTTAAAATTTTATTGCGGATCATTATTAAGACTTGAGAGGTTAAAAGCTAATCATAAATAAAAGTTTACATTTTTTAAATTTGAAAAAAAAAAAAAAAAATCGATTTATCTCTTTCTACATGGTCTAAAAAGCAACTTGGGAGTACCTCCCATTCTGATTATATTAAATCCTCATTACTTGTATAAAATTTAAAAGACGATCGTCGATCGCAACCAAATAACCATTGTGGATATAAACAGTTATTAGTTAGTAATACAAATAAATATGCAAGAAATTATTGCTTCGTCAAAAAAAAAAAAATAGGTTAATTGAAGAAATCCTTTTAATTAGTTTATTTAGTTTATTTATTGTCTTTTTCGGATATCGATCCGACTTATCCGTTAAACCCCGATATCTCTAACCCAGTTAAGAATAGATTTTATTTATTGGAATTCTTTTTAGAACAATTCGAATTAGTGACATATTTACCAAGGAAATTTTATTGTGTAAACGAATCTCGCGCTTTATTGACCCGTTTGGTCATGCAAGTCTGACTAATTTTTTAAATGTCTAATCAAGTAATAATTATAGTTCATCCTATGGCACAAAACGAGGATTTAACAATCCAAAATCGATAAAATTTTATTTATTTCAAAAAAAAACAAAAGATACAACCAATTAAAATTACGTTCTTTTTTTTTGTGTGTATGTGTGAGTGTTGAGTGCGTGTGTTTACTCGCAGCTTGAACCAGCCAAGCGTTAAAGTATGTATATTATATTAAGATTATTATATTAAAAATTATTCTTTCGTTTGAATCGTTAATAGCAAAGGTAAGAAACGGTTGCCATGGCAATCATGGATAATCCCACAACATTTACGTCGTTTGTAGGTAAAGCAGCGTTAGTTTCAGCTAATGGTTCTGATGGTTTTGTTTCGGTGGAATTATTCATTGTTCCAACATTATTATTAACTTTACCCTTGGGTGCTATCGTTTCACCTTGAGCATTAACAGTTTCAGGATCAAACCCTGCAATTTTGCCATTTATGCCTTTAATGGTAAACCTAGTGGACCAAACTTGAACGGCGCCAGCAATGAATTTGTAAAAATAATACTTTCCGGCTGGTCCCAATTCGGCCGGGATCTTATAAACGACCTTACCCTTTGCTGGAGGAAATGAACCTAAATCCATAACTTCAATCTGATTATTATTCGGACCCGTCATTAGTTTAACGTTAACATTTGATAATTCCAATAACGATGGGGAGGTGCCATCATCTACCCAGTTAACTGTACAAGGTTTTTTTGGAGAACAAACCGTCTGTTGGTTTACTATTGGGTATAGGTTTGCTTCTGTCACGACGGCGAAAAGTAAAAGGCTCACTCCCAGAAATAAAGTCATGGGGTATTTCATCTTGAAGAATTGTTTAAACGTTTATACTTTTTAAAAAAGAAAGTATGTTCTTGAAAAGGGTCAATTTCTCTTTCTAGAAAACCGGCGAAGGAATGTGTGGGGTGAAGAGGGAGGGAATGAATGTGTGGATGGTGGGTAGATGGGTGAGATGAGTGAATGAAAGAATGTAAAAAAAGAAAGCGAGAAAATTAGCAGAAAAAAAGACTTCCGTGTGCAATTTATATTCTTCTGCAATCATTTCTTTGTAACCTAGATAAGCTATTGTGTCTAATGGAAATTTCCTTAAATGCGAACTTATTTCCCATATATTTCTTGCGAAACAAAAATCCAATCTCATCGTTATTATGATAGAACTTACGTTTTAAATCGAGTATTTAAGTGTAAAACCCACGCTTTAGGAAAAGAATCCTTAAAATGGAAATGCCAAATTATCACAACGAGACACAAAAATTTTATTGAGGAAATATATATCATTTCTTTATTGAAAGGTACTAAAATGGCCCCCAACAAAAATCACAAGTTCCATTAATCTTCAAAACAAATGCCTTATTATGTGCCGAGATCAAACAAAGAGAAATCACTCCAATGATTATTTCGTACAACTATGTAATATTGAAAAGAATATATAAAGCAAGGATAATTTCAAGTGTTCATATCTCGTTAGATCGCAGAACATCACGGAAATTCCTGTAAAAAAAAAAAACTTGAATATAATTAATTATTAAATTGCTTTTTTCTTAAAATGGTGAATTAAAAAGTCATTTTGGAATAAACCGAGATGCACGTTTTTAGAGTTTTAGAATAATCTATACTGCATATACCTAATCTTTGCATACTGCACATAAATAAAAATAAATATAATCATTTTTTTTTTTGAACCCTTTGATAATTTTTTATCATCAAAAAATTTTAGTTACTTGCTATAAAAATGTCCTCTCTTGACATCTTTTGCAATTGAGAATGTGATAGAAAACTCAATGCACATCCCTTCTGATCACTTATTATAACGTTAATTTTGATCATTAAATGCAACGTGAATCCTCGACGATGTAATATTAACATTAATGATTGTAGCGTTTCAAAGATATTCATTCCTAAAAACGAACATTCAAACATCAAAAAAAAAAAAAAGAAAAAATCCCACCGCCTTTTTGATTATTGCTAACCAACTAGGAACCTCAATGTTTCACGATTCCAAAACCATGACATGAGACGCAGCAACACCACATTGAAGGAACCAACTAAATTCCTTAAATAATTTTGGATTTGCTCATCAATACATCATGTGTTACGCCACGAGGCTGACAGTAACTATTAAGTTACATTTATGAATATAGAAAGAACAATGTTTTCAGTAAGAATTAAAATAAATAAAGAAATGACAGATAAAGTTGTATATCTAACACATGATTATGGTTGATAATGCTCATGATGTGACAGGTCGGTCTTCTCTTTTTATAAATTTTTAATTATTATTTCATTACTTTTTCATTTTTCCCTCGCTTTTTTTTTATAATACAAAGAATACCCTTTTGCAAAGATTCCTAACAAATTTTTTTTCGTTTTTAAATTTGTTTCATATTCACATATACTTTTTCTTAATTCGCACTTATTGTACTTTCCATTTAAAATCATTATATATCAAACGAGAAAAATAATAAATTACCAAAAGTATTTATTACACACACACACACACACGCACAAAAAAAAAAAATAAATAAATAATTTAAAAATATAGACTTTCTCGATGGAAATCAAACCTTACATTTGATATGATTTGATTTATTTTTTTTGAACCGGGATTCTTTTTATAGAATTTCAATAAATTAAAGTTCGAAATTTAATAATAATAATAATAATAATAATAATAGTAATAATCATTTACATAAATTTTTTCTAATTAAAGTTTTCTTTTTTTTTTTTAAAAAAAAAAAAAATCAAATCCCTTTTTTTCTTTTTTTAAAAAAAAAAAATACCTTTTTTTCATAATTTATTTTAGTTTCACCTTTTTTTTTTTTTACTTTCAAGACCGCCTAACTAAATAATTTTCGAAAAAAGTTATTAGTTTTAAAGATGTTAAGTAATAGTAAATCCATGGATAAAAGATTTGTTGATTATGTATTTTTGGCAGGGTTACCAACAGATTTTCAAATTAATCCTGAAAAGCAAGATTCATCAGATGACGAAAATGAAATGTTCAAAGAAGCTAGTGAGGAATTGAATATTGAAAGGTTGAACTCCGATAAAAGTATTATTACGGAGGAGGAACAAGCTAAAACAGCGAGAGAAATTGATCAAACTTCAAGTTCATCAAGCATGGATTCATATACCGACGCAACAAGTTCACTGTCAATGACAAAAGCAACGACGATCGATGTATCGGCAGATATCATTCCCAATGACAAACCTAACAAGACCTTTTCTTCAGACATGTTTAGATCAAAAAGTAACAAATCTTCATCATACGCTCGTACCAGAACCTTGGTTAATAGATCTTTTGAAGCAGATGATGAAGAGAGTACAAAGTTGTTAGATACATTATTTGAAAGCATTAAAGCAAGCATAGTAAAATTTGATCAAGATCGTGATGAATTTTTAGGAACAATGAAAAAAGAATCAAATTATGGAAAAAGTTTTCTATATACTTCGAAAGAAGAAGAAGATGATATTGATTATGATGATGATGAGGGATGTAAACGTAAATCGAAATTATTTAAAAACTTTGATGAGGAATTTGTAAAAACTGATTCTTTGCGACGCGGTGTTGATAATAATGATGATGGACATTATGAAAATCAACGTGATTCATTTACAGCCTTATCAACAAAACTATTTAAAAACTTCGATGAGGCACTTGTAGAGACCGATTCTTTATCTTCTTCAAGCATTGATTCATCCAAAGTTCAAGAAGGATTAGATATTAATAGACATTCATATCAGAATGTGGTGCCACAACAACCATCATCAAAACAAAATGATGTTTGTTCTGACACTTTATTACACCCTTTAAGGCAAAAATTTGCTCCAAAGTTATTATCAAGGTACCCAGAAAATGATTACCCAGAAGAAGGTGCTTTTCCGGCATATGTTCCAATGGTAACTTACAAATGCCTATTTAAATTAATCTTTCTATTTTATATTTACAAGAACGATCAATAATCTTCTTTTTCCTTTTCTCCTAGTTTTGTTTTCCTAATGACATAATGTTAAAAGAGTCGGTTGAATGTCCTTCAACAACTTTTCATGGATTTGTATCCTTTAAACCTGATAAAACCGATCTTTTTTTTTTTTTTTGCTTTCTGCATGACAATTAACCTTAACGGAAATATTATTAATGAATGTGATTAGGTGATGACGCAAGGAGATGGATCGCAGCGATATGGAGCATGCTTAACTACTTATGAACCCATTCCCGAAGATTTGTTTGAAGAATTAAACGTGCAAAAAAATATCTGGAGAGAAGCAAACATGGTAAGTTCCAACTTGTAAGAAAACATTTGAACAGTAAAAAAAATTATATCGAATTAAGACCATTTTATCGTTCTTCCCCTGAATTTAAAAGTCCAAAAGTGAGATAGAATATGCAGATCATTTGCTTGAAAAAATAAGAGCGGAAAAAAGAAAAGTTGAGACAACAAGAGCAAAGTTGCTGCTACAAGGAATAGATGCGGATAGCCAAGAATTAGAAGAGTTAAGGAAAGAAAGGGAGGATGCAGAAGATAAATTAGTATTATATAATGAACTATTACAACCAATTAAATTAGGAGTGTTAGATAAGAATAGTTTATGGATACCTAAATGTATCGGAATAGTAAGTCATATACCGTGGCATGATGTATTAAAAGATTGGCTATGTGCTGTTGCAATGCCCATGGTAGAAGATCTTAAAGAGAGAAACGATCCAATTAAATCTCTTGTTCCCATTGAAAGGTATGTGCAAAAGCGGTTTGCAAGATGATGTGAAAAATAGGAGAGAATTTATATTCTTTTATTTTCTTTTCTTTAGGCATATAATTAACCTTGTACATGAAATACCATTGCCACCACCTGGGAAATTACAAGTTGCATTTTCAGTTAATGATATGACATTCTTTTGTGCGAGACCTGCGCTCAACCAAATACCAATAATGAAGGATGTAAGTTATCAACAATCTATTAACCTTTCAATTTTTAATAATTTCTTTCACTAATTAATTATATATATTTGATTATTTGTGAATAGTTTTCACTGTACCCGTTATTTAAGAGTCTTTCAATTCAAAATATAGTGAAATTATTTGAGGTTGCATTAGCAGAAGGAAAAATATTATTAATATCATCATATCCGGACATGTTACATTTGGTCGCTCATAGCATAACATATTTGATTTATCCACTATATTGGCAAGGTGTATTTATTCCTGTACTTCCCGCTAGATTAATGACGTGTTTACAAGCACCAGTGCCATATATAATGGGAATCGAGAGACAATATAAGGGTGTTGATTTATTGCCCGAAGATGTATGTAATGATTGATATAAAGCAAATTTTTATTCTTCATTCGTTCGCTCACTCATTGATTCATATTTGTTCTTCATTTTATTCATAATAGGCCTGCATCGTTGACTTGGATAAAAATACAATATTATTGGCAAACTCACCGGTTCAAATACCATCAAGACAGAGAAGGAAGTTGATTAAATCATTAGAAAAGTATGCCCCATTGCATACACAATGTAACATATCATTAGAAGTGCCAAAATTCATTCAACAAGCATATCCTAATGGTAAATTTATTCCAATTAGCAACAAATCAAAGATACATGTAAAAACAGAGAGTGGTACAATTGGTTCGGTAATTGGAATGCCGGCGAGAGCGATACCACTTGCCCCTTCAATGAATAGTTCTTTTGATCCCGAAAATGGATTAATGAAAAATGATTGTTCTCAAACTGATCAAGCGTTACACTTGGCCCCTATACCTGAGATTAATGACAATAATAGTAGTCGCAATAGTGATAATAGTGCCACTAGTAGTGGCGCTAGCGAATTATTTAATATGAGACAAAATATTTCTATGGGTGGAGGTGGTAATCATAATGTACCACAGCACGCTACGGTACAAAGAAGATTTTCAAATTTCGTTTCTCCCTCAACTAGCCTTGTTGATAAAGCTGATAGTGTAAAGAATTTAGATAAATTTGGAAAAAAGACAAAACAAAGGTTTAGTTCTATAACCGGAGGTGCAAGGAATTCTATTATCGTAAGTCGTTATTAATATGATTATTAATAATTGGTTTATTCGTTATGTTTAAAAATTAAAAATTCATAATTTTTCTTTCCATCATAGACTCTGAGGAATAAAGCGTTGTCAAGAAATAGTAGCGGTAGCGTATCTTTAAGAAATAATAACGTATTCAATCGTAATACCATGTCACGTGGGAATGATTTACGTATACGTTCGACTATTAATTTTAATTTTGTAATAACTCCACCCGCATCTCCTGACTCAACCCTGTTTTCGGATTCATTATTTGATGATGTACCAAGTACAATGCATTCGACAAATGCGGATTTCTCACCACTGAAAAATACTTCCGAAAAAGATTACATATTAAAAGAAGGACATTCGATGGTATTAGCACCATTTGATAATGAAGCGAATGACCAAAAAAATGGTATTTGGATGATGGAAGGTTTGGCTTGTGGAATATGTAGAAACAGTCTTGGTGTTAATCCTGTGTATAAATGCGATGGTTGTTCTATGATGATACATGAAGAATGTTTGAATGATATTTGTTATCCTTGTATACCTGCTTGCTTTGATGAATCAAAAGTATTAGATGCCTTCTTAAGAGTGTTTGCTTCTTTATTAAGCAATTATCGTCATTTTCTTTTAAATAATGATGATAATACGAGAGATAGTGGTATAGGAGATATATTTGAGGATGGATTTGGTGTTGCTGGAGATACCAATGAATTCTTTAAAAAAGATCTATTCTTAAAATCTGTTGAAAAGTGTTCCAAGGTAATTTTTTTCTTTAAAAAAAACGAGGATTTTTTTTTTAAAACAAAATACTTAAAAAAAATTATTATTTTTTTTTTTTTGTACCCTTTAGCCATTTTTATCAAATTTGTTGGATTCTCAATCATTTTCACAATTTATTGCTGAAAGAGTGATGAAGAATAGTGATGATCTTGATTTTGGTATAAAACATTTTGACGAAGTTATAAAAGCAAAACTTAATAGATCAAAATTAAAAATATCTAAAGAATCGACGTCCTTCCTTAACGTAGGTGATTCGTAATATGTTTCATTAAGGAACGATATTCAACAATTTTTATTGAGTTTATTTTTTTTTTTTTATCGCATTTTTTATAGGATTCATCATTTGAAGTGTCACAAACAATACGTGCCATAAAAACAAATGAAGAGGGTTTGGATGAATTAGGATTTGAAGGTTATATACGTATACCTGATTTCTTTGATCCTGAATTAATGTCTAGTCCTCGCGCTATAAATAACGGTTGGGCGAATGGTTTTGATAAAGGTTGGAGATAATCTGAATACTTTTTGATGTATATCTTAAAAAACAACGTCTTTTTTTTTTGTTCATGTAAATTAGTGAAAAAAATTTTTTGGGGTAAGATTTATATAATATCTCATATTATATAGGGTGTATCAATTTATTAGTAAATATTTGAATACATATAAAAATAATAATTTAAAATCTGGATATACAGTTATCTGTTAAATAAAAAATTATTCCACCTTATCATTATATACTTATATTTGATTATCATTCTCCTCTGTATTTGAAATATGATTCAATAAAGAGGAATAGAGAATATAAAATTTGAAAGTAATTAATTATCTTCACATTTATTCAGCATTAATCCAATCATCTCTTAACCTACAAATAAAAATAAATAAAAACGCATTCACTTGGTCACTCCAACATACGTAATAACTTTAAAAATTGACTCATTTCGTTTCTACTATATAAAATATCATGGAAAAGAATTCATTAATTGTTGTCAGTCGATGTCTTAAAGCAGCATACAGACAAAACGCGAGTTTGTGTATCATTGCATGCACGTGATCAATGCTGAACAGAGAATTTTTATAAATTGTGGACAATAAATAATAACAAGTAACTGGTGTTATTTTATCTTCTTATGATCAATTAATAAAAATAACCATGGAAGCTATGATAAAAGATTTTAATGAACGTACACGTGAACTTAAGAATTTCATGCTTCTTCGGGCCGAAGGTAATAAATTTAGTTTTTACCTATATTATAATAGTTCAATTTAACGCGTTCAAAAAAACTTTTTCGCAGGTGCCTGTGAAGAAACGGATGAAATACTTTGCGAGTTACGCGACTCACTTGGTGAGCTTGAAACACGCGTCTTGCAAATGTCAAAGTTTCTGGAAGAAGAAAAGGTTGCTTTAGAGAGAGCCAAAGTATTTGTTTTTTTCCTTTATTAGACGCGTTGTTTTTTTTTTTTTTTGAATGCACCATTTATGTTTTATTCAATTTTATTGCTTAAAGGAGGTAAAAGCTAAATTACAGTCACAACATGATCATCTAGAATGGATGTGTCAGCATTTACCAAAACATTTACCAGGTAATATCGAACCTTCGACGTATGATCAAACAAATCTTCATCCACCGTAAGTATCAATTTTATACATGAAATAATTTTGGTAAGAAATCATGATACATTGAAATAATTTTTCTATAGGAATGAAAGGAATGAACAACCTCAACAATGTGTACCAAATCACGCACAAGGGCAAGTACATGAGCAGGATCCTTTGCAGGAAATAGATTTACCATTAGTCGAGGAGAATCCATTTTACGTATCAACCCAACCTACAAGCAATACCAATTTTGTGGCTATGGGATTGTCATATATTACTGTATCGGAATTCAAGAATGTGCCAAAGTATGTTCTGATATAAATCCATCTTATTATTGTCATTATTACTGAAATTATCTGATCTATATTTATTTAGATATATCCACAATAATCGTATATCGCGCGATAAAGTTAATGAGGCCATTGACGATTTCAATAAAGTCATACAAGAAAAGTATACAATCCTCAAGTCACAACAAAGCACCCTAAGTCATAAGATGAAACAGAAGTACTGGGTAAGTTTTTTTTTTTTAGAAAAAAAAAAAGCCGATCTAAAAAAACACGTTAGTTAAATTTCTTTATATATATAAATATAGAAATACAAAGAAGCGGAAAATGAAGAAACGAGAGGTATTTTGCACTTTATCGTCATTTTCAAATGTAATTTCTTCACTAAAATGATTATCGTCCTTTATAACAAGACAAGGACTTTATCACCGAGAAAGATCTTAAATCAACAAATCAAAAGATCAAATTTAAAATGGATGCAATCGGACGTGCCATAATATCCATTTTGAGACATTGTGGTAGGATTAAAGAAATTCGAGGGGGAGGGCAAACCAGATATGTAGTACTTGGGTAGGTAAGTAATAAATCAGTGAATAAATTTTTTATTTATATTTTATAAATTATCTGATGGGCGAAACAAAGATTTAAAATAACCCTGTAATATAATTAATAAACCACTTTGAAATATGATGAATTTAAAATTAATGTAAAAACATTATTTCGGAAAAAAAAATGAAAAGTAAAACTTTTTTAAACAATATATAATCAAATAATCTATCACCTAGCCTTTTTATTTTAATGTTTTTATGCATGTGAACTATATAGCATACTTGTTTCGTTTTGAGAGAGCCTTTCTTGCATTTTTTACACGTGTCTCTGAAATCATCATGTAAATATATTGCTTTTAAATTTCGTTGGAATTGAACTTTTTATATTCAGTAATTCTTGATGATTGCATCACAACTTGTAAATGATGAAAATAAAATGACGTATCTTTTTTATTTTTTATTTAACTCTAGAAGTAATTTTTTTTTTTTTTTCTTGATTTTAAAAATTGGCACAGAATATGATGAAATAAATCCAGATATTTACGTGTGAAATTAGTATTTTGACTGACGCACACCTGAAAGATTTATTTTGACTCGAGCAGCACATTGTTTGTGCTAGCCGAAATACGGGTTCCGATTTTTCAACTTTTAAATTCCAGCGTAGTTCGTTAATAGTGAATTTAATTAAATTTTAATAAGGTAATTACTCTTGCTGAAGCAAAAACATTCCACTCGTTTTAACCGAATCACAAAAAAAAATTCAAAAGGAAAAAATTTTAGAAGAGTATTTCAATAGGAAGGAAGTTCCAGACGCTATAAACAACATGCACCTAATAGCATGTATGTATGTATGTTATGTATGTACATATGTATGTATGGTGATCAATGTATCCATCCATACAAACATCCCTTTTGTTATGAAATCCTACATTGGTCTCCATGTCACATAAATATTTACTTGTTTTTCGGATTTTTTAGTTGTTAAGACGATTTAAAAGTAAATATTTTTCCTCTTTCTAAATATTTATATATATGTATCTATGTATCTATATTCAATTATTTTATTAATAGTACAGAAATAATATATATTTAATTCTGATTTTTTAAATTGATAATTTAAGCTCACGTCATGTCGAATCGGTTTTATATTTTTCATTTGATCTGCAAACGAATCTTCAAAAAATTTTATTTTATTCTTTTTTTTAAAACGGAAAAAATTCGCCTATTATTTAATTAAAGAATTAAAGAATGAGGAAAATCTCATGGGAATAAACTTGTACTTGCCAACGAAGACGTCATTTCCACTTAATGTACTCTGATCAAAAGTGATTTCATCAAATATCAGTAAAATTTAAAATATGAGAGAAAACTAATTTGATCATTCTCATTATGTTTTTTTTTTTTTTTTTTTTGCTTTTTTGGTCGAAATGTCGAAGAAACTTTTCTTCCCTCAATTGTCTCATGATTTGACCAAACTAATCACGGACGAACGATTCAGTGACGTGATCATTGAAACCGGTAGAGATGATGATAAAAATTCATTCAAGGCTCACTCCTCAATATTATACTGTCGTTCTCCTTATTTACGCAAGGAATTACTCAGGAATGAAAAAAGTGATGACCTTTTGAGAATCGATTTGAATATCCCTGTTAAAACCTTTCGGGCTTTGCTAAGGTAAGGTTAAATCTTTTTATTTTGTTTTTTTTTCTTTTCATTTGAACGGAATTTTTGAAAAAAATAAAAAAAATATATTTTTATTTTATTTTTTCACTGAACTGGAAAATAGTTACATGTATAACGGATTGATCCCATTGGATCATTTGACGATATTTGAGATCTATCAAATCTTATTCGCTTCCGAAAAACTTGGATTAAAAGAGTTGGTCATTTATATACGATCCTATTATTTGAAACCGTATCATAAAGAATGGTTAAGGCAAAATTTTGAAATGATTTATCATTCAAGTTTCAAGCACGAGTCCTTTCAAGATTTACAACAATTTTGTATTAGCATCTTGTTTCAGAATCCAGAATTGATATTGAAATCATTGGATTCTTCCTCAATGACCGAAGATTCCTTGATCTCATTCCTTAAACGTGATGATTTGAAGATTGATGTGATCGAGGTTTGGGATTTCGTGATTAGGTGGGGGATATCAAAAGATCCACGATTATTAAAGGATCCTTCCCTTTGGTCGAATAACGATTTCAAAACGTTTGGGAAAACTTTGCAAAAAGTTCTACCATTGATCAGATTTCATGAGATGAGTCGTCAACAATTTCTAGAAAGGATACAACCGTTTCAACAAATTTTTGATCCAAAGGTCTATGACTCGGTGATGATGAGATATTGTATGATACCTAGCATCCAAGGAGAACTTACGGTGTTTCCAATCACTCGAGGAATTCTCGATTCAACCCTTATCACAAAAAAACATGCGGCATTGATCGATTTTTGGATTAGACAAATCGGAAAGGGGGAGGTTGGATTGATGGATATTGAAAGGACAGCCTTTAAATTTCAATTGTTACTTCGAGGAAGTCGTGATGGATTTACCCCTTCAACATTTCATCAATTATGTGATAACAAATCAAACACTCTTGTAATCCTAAAAGTGAAGGGGACCAAGGAATTACTTGGAGGTTACAATCCGAATAGATGGAAATCGATCAGAGGGTGGGGAAAGACGAATAATAGTTTTATCTTCTCTTTGAGGGATGTGAAGGATCTGAAGAATTCGATATTAAGTCGAGTCAAACGTGCGGGTACCGCGATAAATTATGAAGATTATCTTGGACCATCCTTTGGTTTTGATGACATTACGATTAATGGGGAGAATTTTAGGGAGGAGCGTAAATGTTACTGTAGCAAGCACTGTTATGAGAAAGAGATTAGGAATGTGAAGGATTACTTTTCGCTAGATGATTACGAGGTGTTTCAGATTCAAATGAAAGTTTAAAAATTAAAATCAATATTATTTTTTTTTGGTGATATGATATGATATGTATGGATCCTTTGTCTTGGCGTCAAATGAGTTATTTATTATTATAAATTGTCAATTTCACGAGGCTAAGTTTCAAATCTAACCCTTAAATCATTTATTCTTCATGGTAAAAATTACTTCCAAAATAAGCGTCTCATTTTGTAATATTTATAGATTTCAAGTCTATATTTAGAAATATACTATTCCCTAAAACATTTTGAGCTAAAAACAACTTTTCCGTTTTTTTTTTAAAATATAATAATCATAATAAAAATAAAAATAAAAATAATGTAAAAAATCATAAAAATAAATATTAAGTAATTATAATTGAAAAAAAAAAAAAAATCAAAATCTCTCATCGTTCAAAATTTTTAAACATGCATTAGTTTTAACGTTTGTGAAATCATAATACAGTAGCTTTTGTTTGTTTTTAATCCATGGTAATTGCATCAATACGAATAAAGAATAGCAAATAAATACGCGTGTTACGTGACATCCGCATCGTCATTTATAATATCGTACAGAAATGTAATCTTCAAAAATGTAACCGGTTTTTTCTTTTTTTCGATACGTACGTAAGGGGAAGAGAAGAAAAAGAATAAGAAAAAGGAAAGGAGCAAATCGAGTGAAAATTAAATTCCTTCCTTTTCTTTCCTACTTGCATGAATCTTAATCGTAAACGAAAAGAGGGATTCATACTAATTCATGTTGTAACCAGAAAATAATATCAGAACAATTCCTTTTTGTTGGTAATACCATGTGAAGATTATGATCGGTGCTACATTAGAGACGAACAATGAATACAATGAACTAGAAATAGTAGCGATCAATGATGATCACCTTTTTTCATTTTTTTTTCCATTTTGGTCATTTAATCGCGTGAATAAAATGATGATATCAACTTGTAAGTAACAAAAGTAATAATTAGTAGAACGTGAGTATAATGAAATCATTAATCACGTAGAGAAATTCAACGCAAATAAACAATAAAAAATACAAGGTTCAAAACAAGAGGTTCGAATATACAGTATTTTAATTTTATTGTAATGGATTGTTGGTGGTAAATTGGGACACTCGCGCCCCTTGACTAACCCGATCCTGGCACTTTGGTAGTTACCTGGAATTGCTTTTAGTGAAAATAATTTATCCTTAATTCCTTGAATGAACTTAATCGGGCAAAGAAAATCACCTTTGCCGAAACACATAACTTTGGATTTAACACGTTAAAATAACGTTTTACCAAGGAATTTTCAATCGGGTACAAAAAAAAAAAAAAATCTTATAATCTTTGATCATTCACAGGATGACGGAAAAAAAAAAAAAAGGTTAACCATCTTTATTCGTTTGCACCGAATCACACTATAAAAAATAACCGGGATTTTGCTAAATGAAGAAAAAGGAATTTTATCAACTAATTTTACACAGCCAAGAAAAACGTTATTATAAGAATGCAGGAGCTACCTTTCATTCTGGAGATCATGTTTTTTATTTTTGGGAAAAAACAAAAATAAAAAAAAAAAAAAAAGAGGTTGATCGGCCGGTTCCTTATTTTAAATCGACAGCTTTTTTCCCAATTCAACTTAAATCGGGATGAACATAGCAATAACTTTCATTAAATTGAAAGTCTCGGAAGCCAAGCTTGATGGAACTTACCCATTTAAAGAACATCATTAATTCTTATTGATTTACCTTCTTAACATAAAAGTAAATTTAAATTTTTTAATATGAATATGAAAAAATACTAGATGATAACCAGCACCTTCACTTTCCAGGATTTCTTTTTTCTCTCCAAAAGTTTGAATTATAAACATTTTGAAATGTGGAGAGGAAGAGATGATCCAACGCGTTCGGAAAAGGGATCTGATTTTCGGAATTTTTGATATAAATACGCCCGGTGTCAAAGGGAAAAAAAAGCAACATACCAAATAATCCTTTTAATACTACAAAGGAAAAAGAAGAAAATAATAACAACAATAATAAAACCTACATACCTAAATCTTTATTTAATCAATCGAAAATGTCTAAATTCACCAAATTAGTCATCTGCGCCATTGTCGCCCTCCTCATAATTGGCACGGCTTTTGCTGGAGAAGGTAAATATTAATTCATTATCACTATTATTTAATGATATTTTCTACCATATATCAACTTTAACAATATTAACAAACAAACAAAAACCTTATTTAATAGCACGCCTTGTAGCTCGTCAAGACGAACCCTCCGCAACACCATCAGGTGACGCAACACCAGAAATCACCCCAGACGCAACACCAGACGCAACACCAGTTGCAACACCAGTTGACGGTAAAGCACCAACTGACGGAAAAGCACCAAATCTTCCATCATCTCCAGCCCCCTCAGGCTCAGTCCCAATCGCATCAAAAATTGCTGATGCCTTTAGCTCTGCTACAGCCGGAGCAAGCACGTACCCACAACCAACCGGTGCACCAAAATACCCAACTACCGGCTCCGGCTCCAGCTCTACCACCCCCGCCACAACTCCAAAGTCAGGTGCCGCCAAGATCGAAAGTGGTTTATTCAGTGTTGCCGCAATCGCTTCCTTTGGTTTATTCTTCTTGTAAAGGATTAATTAGTATTTTATCAATTAATTTTTTAAAAAAGTATTTAGGAAAATATAATTTTTTTATTTTAAAATTAGATCTTTTTAGTCTACTTAATAATGCGCCTAGTATTTGAATAATACTCCTTTATTTCATTTTTGTTATGCTATATAATTCTTTATTAATTCAATAAATGATCGGCTCTTAATTAATTTCGTTAGAAAGTTTTTATGGTTACATTTAAATTTCACAAAACACGTGTTTTAATATTTTTTAAAATTAATGATGTAACAAAAACATTTCCCGAATTTGATCATTTGCACAATAAAAATTTTTTCTTTAAAAAAAAATATTCCATAAAAAGAACATAAGGTGATTAGGAATGAAAAAGGAAAATAATAATAATAATAATAAAAATAATTGTTATTTTGTTTTACTATAGATGTATCAAAAAATATTAAAATAAAAAAAGGAAAATGCAAGGATCTCAATGAAACGGATTTTTTTTTTTTGTTGTAATCTTAAATTACAAATTCAACTTGGAAGATAAGCCGAAATCATCTTAAATGAGTAAATAATCTTAATGATCTGGAGTAACAAGTAACACAGGTCTTGAAGTACATAAGGGTCAACCATGCACAGGTCGCACAGGTCGTGCATCAATCAGCGCACAAGAGCTTTTAATTTGTAAACACTAATACAACCGTTGCACATCACATGACCGTTATACATCTTTCGTACGATGATGGTAATGATGAAATTCTTGGCGAAAAATACAAGGTTTCGAATCATCATCTGGTGATCCCGGAAAAAGATATCCGAAAGCCTTATCTAAATCAGTAAACTCATATCCAAAAACTATCCGCCGTTATCAAGGGAAAAAATAAAAAAAATTTTTTGATTCTGTTTACCCATTACGAAATCTTATGATCTTACCTAAATTAATTAACCCCGTTACACGCACCACAATAAACTTGTCGATAGCACAAGCGCCAAAATTTTTGTCATTTTCAAATCACATCTCCCGAAACTTTTTTTTTTTTTAAAATGGTTTCAATACATTATCTCAACTTATTATTTACTCATTTTTGTAAATACACAACGTAAAAATAGGTTTTTCTATTTTTCTATGAATGGAATTTATTTTTAAACAAAATGGGATGACACATAAAAATTAGCTGTATGCCAATTAGCCGAGTGCCCGCAGCAGATGTAATATGAAGTATGTTTACTGTCGTGTTTCGCCTGAATAACAATGAATGAGGACTCTTAACCGTCCCCTTAAACTTAAATTTATCAATACCAAGCACGACATATCAGTAAGCGTGTTACAACCAACACTGAAACTATTAAAATGTTTACATGGGGAAAGGATTTCTTTAGAGCATGGTACAGCATGAAGAGAAAGAATATTCTTCCTTTCAACCTTTTTTTCATTCCCTTCGCATTTAATTTACTTTTCTTTAATCTTGGTCTATTCAAATCCTATTTTTACATTTTTGTTAGCAGGAATTTTCTTCTTTCAAAATATATGTTCTTTAATTTTAAAAAAAGAAATCCGGTCGCCTCCGGATCTGATGTTATTTTTGAGAGACAAAGTTTATTTATGCAGGCTAAGGATGTCGTGATATCTTGAACATAATCATGTTTATTGTTTAGTTCAGGAGAAGAACATGTTGGTACTAATTACGTGCATCCGAAATGGAACACTGAATAAATAATACTTTGACAAGAATGGAGATGATGTGTAGATAAAAGAAATTTGATACTTTCTTCGTTTTCCTTTGTTCAAACAGGTATAAATACGGACCGTTTGTCCCAAGAAAAAATTCCTCACTTTCAATTGAAATAACAACTTTTGAAATAAAAAAAAAAAAATAGTTTAAAAAAAAAAATATATATTCATTTATATCTTTTACTTCTCTATTAATCTTTAATTTACGAACTTTTAATACCTAATATAAAATGGCAAAATTCTCAAAATTGACTGTTCTCTTCATTGTTGCTATCCTCATCATTGGAACTCTCGCTTCCTTTGGAGCCACAGAAAATTGTAAGTTCTATTCAGCATGATATAACCATCACAATTGCTTCATTCCATTTGAATTGTTATTTATCAAGTAATCTTTTATTTCTTTAAACAGCTCGTTTAGTTGCTCGTCAAGACCCAGCACCAGCTGACGGTAAAGCACCAGCACCAGCTGACGGAAAAGCACCAGCACCAGCTGACGGTAAAGCACCAGCACCAGCTGACGGTAAAGCACCAGCACCAGCTGACGGTAAAGCACCAGCTGACGGTAAAGCACCAGCTGACGGTAAAGCACCAGCTGACGGAAAAGCACCAGCTGACGGTAAAGCACCAACTGCCGCCGGAAACAAACTTGAAAGTGGTTTAGTAACTGGAGCCGTTGTTGCCGGTCTTGTCGGTCTCTTCATGTAAAAAAAAAAAAAAAAGAGAAAAAAAATTAGTTTTTTTTTTTATTTTTTATTTTGTTATTTCTTTATAGAAAGTAGGATATTTAATAATGTCCAATCTTATTGTGCGATAAATATCTTTTTTTTCAAATATTTTTTTAAATTAGTTCTTTATAATTTAATTTTTAGTCAGATTGTTCCTGAAAATTTTTTAATAAAAGCCTTTTCGCTTTAAAAAAAAAATTTTAATAAACTTCAATTAATTTACACATCAAAAAAAAAAAAAAAAGTTTCACTTGTTCATTTTTACCGATGTAACGAATTCTTTTTTTTTCTTTTCTGTTTTTACATAGAAATAATTTATATAATGGGAATACTTTTACAATAAAAGATTGTTAGTAACCTTATTTAATCGCATTTTTCGAAATACAGTTGTGTAATTTGCTCTAATCGCGTGGTCATCTTGGTGAGAAATTTATATAAATGACAACATATTTTCTGCGAGAAATGACAATGGTAATTTGTCGTCCGAAATTTTTGTGTTTAATTCGAATAAAAAAGTTTCATAATTCGACTTCTTTAATTGTGACCAGTTTTTTTTTTTGTCATCAATGCTGTCGCGAGATGGATCGATTTTTGGAAACCCATAAATAAAAAGTTAATTCCGAAGTGGTTTGAACCACACAAGTCTAACCAGAAATCGATCAAACCTTGATTTGTTGCGAAAAACTAAAATAAAAATAAAAAAATAAATATATAGAATAAAATATATACGAAACGAATTATCTTAAAAAAACTGGTATATACATATATTTTTTTAATGAATTATAATGAATTATAAATAAGATCCGTAAAATTAAATATGATCGGCCCGATCATTCTAGTAAGATCTCTAATTGATCTAAGTTTATTTTATCTATAAATGATTTAATCTTTTTTTATTCATAATTTAAAAGAATATATATAAGTCTATTAAAAAAAAAAAAAAAAAGCTTTAAACAGATAAATTAATTAAAAGAATGAATCCGGCGGTTACGAAAATATACATTTTTTAAAATATAAGCTAGAACAAATTTATATTAATTTATAGCCTTTAAATATATTTTTAATAAAATAAAATAAAATTTCTCGTTTTTTTTTTTAGTACATTGTTGATAAATACCTACATAAATAAATTAATTATATATATTTTAGATATTATTTAATTTCATTCAATAATATAAATTTTTTACTTAAAATACATTTTTTTTTATTGTTTTAAAATAAAAAGTATTCGACTTAAAATAATAAAATTTTGATATCTTTTATAAAAAAAAAAACTTTATTATCGAGTAATTAATAAATTTTGTTAGGAAGAGTGTACTTTAAAAATAAACTTTTAACTATAAAGTTGAAAATTTTAAGAACTTGATGAATAATAAATAACCAAACATATTAATTAACTTTTTAAGATAATAATTATTATCTGTTATATCAATAGAAAATGGGAAAATCTAAAATTTGGTCAAAAACTTTTTATTACTAGAAACTAAAATTAAGAAAATTTTGCAGATTTTACTGATGTTTTCCTATATTATAAATATGGTAAATTTATATTTAAAATTATATAAGATTTTAATATTTAAATTCAGATAATATAAATTTTATATAAATTTATTACAATTATTAAGGTTAAAAATATAAAAAAAAATTATAAAATGTTTAATAAAGATTTATATTTTAATTTTTATATTATCATTTCTTATATAATCATTTTATTTTTCTATAATCATACCAATTTTTTTAATTTGAAAAATATAACAAAATAGAAAATTAACTATACTAAATAATTTAAAAAAATTATTTTATATATTAATTATTATTTAAGTAAATATATTTATTTTATTTTATAATTTTTCTCTTTCTATTATATATATATATATTTTGCAGCAAAAAGAGAAAAAAATTTCAAAAAATTTTTTTTAAGTTAATATTAAATTTGAATCATATTTTACTAAAATAAAATTATATTTAATTTATAAAGTAAGAAAACTTTTTTTTTAATTTTTTATTGCAAAATACTTAAATAATACTTATATATTATTATTTTATCAATTAATTAAATAAAAATGTACATTTTAATATTACAATCAACTTTCTATAAATACATCCTTTATAAATGTACACCCTTTATAAATGCATCTTTTTATTTAGTTCTAACTTAAGCTTTATTGCTAAAATGCATATTTTTTATATATATACTTTTTGTAAATGCACTCTTTATATAAAATTTTATAAGTTTACTTATAATTTTTTGTATTATCTTAATTTTAGATTAATATTATATAGATTTATATATATTCTATAAATACACATTCTCTTTAAATGTACCTTTATACCTAGTCTCAAGAGAAATGCATTTATAAAAAGTTGACTATAATACTTATTTTTAAATTTTTAAAAAAAATCAAACATTTACAGTCAACTCTTGATATAGCGAACTCTTGATATAACGAATTTTTTGAACAAATATAATAAAAATACTCTTGTTATAGCGAATTGGCTAATCAAATCTCTTAAAATCTTCACTATAGCCTTATAGTGAAGTTGAGATCTAGGACATAGAGTTTGTTATAACAAAAGTTAACTGTAAAGTTAAAATAGTAAAATAGTAAATTCAGCTATTATTAATATTAAATAAAATTTATTTTTTCTATAAATATTAAATTAATTTTAATAAAAATTAATATTTAATTAAATTTAGACCTACTAAATAACTTTACTTAAATTTTAAAAGTTAATTTTCTTGAATAAAGTCTGAAATTTTATTAAAATAATATAGAGTTAAAAAACAGAAAAATACTATATCACATATAATACATTCAGTTTAAAGCCAACCAATATTTTATTTTGTAATCAAATTTTTCAGGCTTATAATCATATTATGTGAAATAAAATTGATTGGTTAATATATCCTAATTATGTGATTTACTTTATTATATATTTATTATATTATCAGAAATTCATTGATGTGACCTATATTTTTTTACAGCATATAATGCTTCTATATCTGTTAATTTTTTCCTATATGCATCTATAAACCTTCAAGCTCTGCGAATATAATATCTGATTGTTTCTAAAGAAATTGAATTCAATGCTTCAGGAACTGTTTTTTCCAATCCCTTAAAAAATTAATCACAATTATTACAGGTATAACATTTAGTAACATCTCAAAACATTTTAACAAAGTTAAGTTCATAATGGAACTTTAGATAAAAAATCACTATCTTTAATAACCTCTCTAATTAATGACCTTTGTGCTAAAAAATTAGGTTGAAATGAAAGTAACCAAACTGCATAACAATTATCTGTAGTTAAAAAATGCTTTTTGCATTCAGAACAGATACAATTTAAATCCTCTTCTGGCCATAATTCACGTTCTTCCAAAATTAAATAAATTCCCTTTAATCATTTATCTGGAAAATACATTGATTGTCTAATCTATCAGGCATTATTCCATCTTTAAATTTTTCCTTATCACCTGATTTGAGATTCATTTTTGATGCAATTAAAGCATTTTCTGCATAAGCAGCATGAAATGTTACATTATCAAATGCAAATACATTAATTTCATCAGAATGTAACTTTTCAAAAATTGGAATGGCTTTTTCAGTAATCTAATAAAATAATTCAATTAGTAATCTTAAAATAAATCAATTAAATAATAAAAATAATAAAAATAATAAAAATGAAAAATTACCTGTGCAATTAAATCTTCAGTCTTCTACTAATTATCACAATTAACATCTAATTTCATTATAACACATGCTTCATCTTGTTTAAATGTTAAATAACCATCAACTTCTGTTAAAAAATCACTAATATACAAACTTAAACCTGCTTCTTTTTTATAAAAAGACTAATGTCCAATAGGTTCTCAAAAGGTTTTTTTCCTATCATTGGTGTAAAATACTAATTCATCATGAGTTACTAGAATATATCTCTTATCACCTTCATTTAAATTTAACTCTATCAATATCATAATATCATTATCAGAAGGTTTTGGCATCCATTGTTCCAATTGTTCCATTTCTGCTAAAAATTTTTGTCGATATTCAAGCACATCAGATTGCTCATACCTATCATAATAAATATCTTTTGTTCCTGTACGAAATGTTCAACCAAAATGTTTTAGCCATACACGTACAGTGGTATTTGAAATTGATTTTTTATTTTCAATTTTAACACTTGAAAAGACTTCCTGTTCAATATATTCCTTAAATTTATCTACAGTTACATCACATCCAATACTCTGAAGATATTCAGTAATCATTTGATAAATATAAATATCTTTATCACTTAGCAAACTTTTAATTTTTTGGTGTTTACCACACATTGATGTTGAAATTGAATGATATATCACAAAACTTTTTGTCTATGTCCTAATCAAACGTACTTAATATTTACCTTTCTAATGCTAACTGCAATTGTTTAGCTTGCTTCTATACTCTGTGTTCAGCTAATCTTAAGTTAATGTATTGAAGAATAAGTTGCAGCCAGTTCTTAACTTGAGAAATTAGTGATTTATCTTTAATTAATATATTAACTCTTCTAATGCTAAATTAAACCCTTCTCTCCCTATTATTTCTTCAAAATTTATTAAATTATTAGCAATAATATTAATTTGATCATTTAACAAGAAAATAGATGTTAGATTATTATTGAAGTATTTGGTAATATTAGCAGAACCTTTACTTGCTTTCTTTGCAGCTGCTTTTTTTTACCTTTTGGTTCTATCAGAATTTTCATAATAAATTAATGGTTGTGCATTATTAAAAATAACAGAATCTTTTGAATTTTAACGTATAATGTCAAATATAAATGGGTGATTTTATCTACAGTTTCCTTCAAGTCATCATCATTTCAAATATCATCTTCCTCAAAATTATCAGATAAGTCATCAATTTCAAATAAACTTTTTTTGGTAGTTTGTGTTTTTTTTAACTGCTTGTTTTTTCATGCAATTGCAAGTTGAAGATTATGAGATTTGGGAGGCATTTTGCACACAGATTATCAGATTATTATTTTTATTTTAAATACTAATCAGTATAACAAAAAATAGGGGATTTGCTTTTTTTTAGTTTAGTGTGATTTGAAAATTTTTGGCCTAAATTATGTAAATTTTATAATTTTGGATCGCTTTATAATGGTCAAATTTGTCATAT